CGCCTCTTCAGATTTTAGCTTGGCAGTGCTTGTTCTAGGAATGGCCTTGGCCTTCCACTCTTACAATATTAACTAGTAGAAAACTCGTGTATGGTTTTGATACTACATTATGATTGTTTGGATGCCCATCAGTGGATACTAATTTTTAAAAATCTATGTTTTGTCTCTTTTTAGGGTTTTGAATAGGTATATAAATCTTGTAAGCCTTTGATTCTAAGAAATGCTCCAGATCAGATATATATTCAAAGACAACGTTCATAGGCAGTGCAGAAATAACCATCATGGTTTGACAGACTTTATAAGAGTCAATACATTGGGGCAGTTAAAGAAGATGATAAGCAATGCATGCTTATTTTCTGCTACTACCCAGTGCAGCACTTTTAAATTTATCCTCTAGCTCGTAATTTTCAACTACTTCAGCTCAATAGCAGTTCCTACTTTAGCTTCAGACTTTCCAGACGGAACAAACTTATACATAATATCCCTGCACAGTCATTCACACCCATTCAAATATAGCTGCCAAGTGCTACTCTATAATCATAGGAAAGTGTTTGATATCATTGGGGTTTTTTCCTTAAAAATGTAAATGATTGTAAAAGGTTAAGGACTATGTAGAATCATCTGTCATTCATCTTTCATTTAATACATGCCTGCTGAGGAGGAGAGGAAGGGAAGAAAGACACAATAACGTGCGGAGTTCCTTTTTTTTCAACAAAACTTAGCATCACTGATTCGTTGAGGTTGGAAAGGACCTCTGGAGGTCATCTTGTCCTAAACCTCTTCTCAAACAGAGTACTTTTTATAACACTTGCACTTATTATTTTGTTGTACCAGCACTTGAGTATATACAATATGATTCTGTAAAAGTAGAGAGAAATTCTGTCAGATTGAAGGACATACATTCATATAACATCAGTCTGATTATATTAAGGTTATATATTAAGTTCCTATCTCTTTGTGCAGAAGCAATAGCTTTAATTTTCTGTGCACAAAGTGTACCCATACACTTTGTGTACATATGTAGATGGTGACTCTTTCTGTAGACCTGCTTCCCTTTAGAGTATCTGATACAGACTCCTTAACCGAATTCACTCTGAATTTACATCTGAGGGTCCATAAAATGTATCTTTTGAGTTTGTTCTCTTCACTGGAAAACTCTATTTTACTTGCCTAAGCTCTTGGTTGCTCTTTACCATTATTCAAATAATGTTTTGTGCAAAAATGTTCAATTATTTTACTAGAAGTTAAAAATACAACTTACTGAATAAGTGAGATCTTGAAAATTGCCAGTACTTTACACAACATTTATAGAAACTTGCTTAAATTTTTTTATTGCATTTCTGAAATTTTTATAATCTTATTTCCATAAGTATTCCTTGATAAGCACTTATTTGAGGAAATGGATGAATGAAGTGATTTTGTTTAAAGTTGGCAGTTTCCTTTATTATCGTGGCAAGGTGCATCATATTATTTATGCCACAGTTTATATAACAAAAAGCATATTATTTTAAATTGAGCACATTTTTGAAAAATTACAATTAAAACTCATTCAGAACTATATAATTTACACTTTATTTTCCATGCAGTGTTTTGAAAGGCTCCACTATGATTAGATTACTAAGACAGGTACACAATAAACCTTTTCACAATTGTGTTAAGAACTGATCCTCTCACATTAACAATGAATTTTTATTATTTAAGATAATTGTGTTTTCAACTAGAAAAAGAAGATATATAATGTATAAATACTTTATTGTTGTACAGCACAAAGTGGAACTTTTATTTTGAGTCCATTTGGTATGTTCTGGAACACTGTAAAAAAAATACTGCTGCTTATAATGTATTTTTTTGTATTGCTTAAGAATTGACACAGTAAAGTTAATCCAAATTTAATTTAGGGCAAAACTTTTTGATACCAAAGGTGTTTTTCAAAGTTGGTTGAAAGTCTATATGTAGTATGACATACATTTCATCTAGTCACTGAATTAGTACTTCTATTGATGTCATCAGATATAAAGAAAAAATTTCACATTGTTTTGATACAATTGCTGAATTAAGATATCATTTTTGAAAGCACTCAGGACTGGCCTAAGTCTGCTTTAATAGCAATTGACGTTAGTTTGACCAGTACAAAGTCCCAGTTATTTAAGGAAAAAACAGAATTAAGCCAAAGATGAACTTTTAAAATATTAATTTTAAATATTTTCATTTATATTAAAAATAAATCATAACACGGACACTTTTAAAACACAAGTCAGTCCAATTTCTGCCTGTCTTTAGAAGAAAGTACATAAAGAGCCTAAGACAGACAAGAAAGCTGATGACAGCCATGCTCCTCATCCCACTACAGCATGTGGCTGCATTCCTGTCACTTTTTGGCATGTGGGAGATAGAGAGAAATGTTGGAAGAGTATTGGTAATAATAAGAAATCAGACTTTCAAATATTGTGAAACAAAAACTGTATGAATAAATAGGCTACAAGTAGTAAAAATAGGGGACAAGAAGAGCAGAAGTAAGCATGAGGAATGCTAAATGAAAGGGAAATTATCAATGACAGAGAAGAATGTGTAATAGTCAAATACTTAGGTCTCAGATGTCTCACCAATACCAAGAAGATTAAAAATGAAAAATAAAGTCTTCCCCACAGCTATAACACATTAATATGAATATTATTGTACAAAGGAGCAATATTGTTACGATAAACATTTCCTTCACTTGCCAATGAAAATATTGTGTAGGCTTTTTTGTTATTGAAACATCTGGGGGGTGAAGCTTGCCATATCACAGTGTTCCAGTTACACTCAAAGTGTTCTTTACATCAGTGAAAAATGTGTCTCCCAACGAAATCCAAATGTATCTCCCAAACAATCCAAAATATTCAACAGCAACAAAATGATCCCAAATCTCTCTAAAAATATGAATTAAAAGCTCTTAATTTTTCTCCTCCACAGTTTTATTTAGTGGTTAATAAAGCTTTTCAATAAACTGGAATTAAATATTTATATCTTCCTGACAGTTTCAATTAATAAACACAAATGACTGAAGTTTAGAAAGGAATTCATCAAATAAATTGGTGGATGTGTGGATAAAGTAAGTTTTGGAAGATGTATCGGAAATTATACTGGCAATATTTAACTAGGAATGTTTATATTAAAAAGAAAGGAAAGAAAATTAATGCATGTGAGATGTCAACTTCCAACATTGCTGAAAGGCAATGCATAAGTAATACATCATTATATTACTGCACTATTATTTTTATTTATTTAGTGTTTCTTAAGTCTTTCTGAATAAAGGAAAATAACTTGGGAGTAATATCTGTCTGTTTATCTGCCTATCCATCCAAGTATATATATACACTGAATTCTGACTTATTACTTTATTTGCTAACATTCTGAAGAACAGTTCTATAATGAAACAACTCATACAACAGGCAATTAAATTGATTGTATAAGGACTAAAATGTTCCCTTGCCTTTGAAAAAAGTTTTTACTTTTCCATTTAAGAGTTCTATCACATAGACTAACAAAGTGCATATTTCTGTCAGTATGTATAGATGCAGAAGTCCTCAAGAAAATAATTTTCAAATTATATTTGAATAGGCAAATACCTAATTTCTTAGAAATTCGTTAAGGAGAAATAAGAAAGCTTAAATCATATTCTTAATCTGACAACAGTTCAAAGTGTATCATGAAGGTGGAAGAGAAAGACAAAGCAGATGATAGGAGTAGCCCCATTAAAACATTTATATTACACTAAATTATATTATGTTCTGGTGTCTGTTAAAACAATATTCAAGTAATCTACTGTCAGAAAAATCTTGCTCTTATTTTGGCAACAGGCATAGATACAGCTGCAAATGGAAATGTACCACTGCACTGCTGACTCATGCATCAGTCCAAAGCATGGTAATGCTAAGTAAGCAATGCTGATGTGCAACACCAATGTGCAAAAAATCCAGTTCCACTCCCCTGTGGAGTTTGCTTAGGATGTAGCATCACACCAGGCAATTGTCAGTAGCAAATTTCTGCGCCAGACTGACACCTTCTTTAACTAGCTGGGTGCATGAACCATTACTAAAGTGTTTTGTTTTGGTTTGTTTTTTCCCTAGCTTATTGATCAGATACATGTCCTCTCTATAAGGTTCATGTGAATTCACAAACACAATAGTTGTTGTTCTCAGAATCACAGGATTCAAAACTGTCTGTAAGATTTTTGTCTATTATGGACCCATGAACTGAGTCAAAACATTAAAATATTTTTTCCGAGATTTTTAATGAAGTAAGATTAGCTAAGCAAAAGCTTTCATAATACATATACAGAAAGCAAGATCAGATTTTGAATATGTTTATTTTGAAGTCTATGAATGTATTTTCATGGTACAACATGGTACTATACAAAATGAGATCCTAACCCTATAATGATTAAATAATATGCATAGTTTTCCTCATACTAATTTATTTAAGACTAGGTGTATGCAAGTGTTTGCAGAGTTAATAGCTTGAACTAAATTATTTTGAGAGTTTTTTCATTTTACTTTAATTCAACAAATGACTTACACTGTTTTACCACTCTCTTAAAGCTTTCAGTAATTCTGCTTAGCACCACTAATTAATTATATTTTAAATGTGGAAAATAACAACTTATATAAAAGATTATCATACTGAAATATTGAAATGTTTTTCTTAGGTTACCTACAGATATTCTCAGTGATGGGATTTTAAGATGTGATGTTATCTGTTATTTAATAGTGTAATTTATGCTCTGTGACTATATTGGAATTTTGGCAATGGGAAAATACTATATAGAAAAGATATTTTGTGATTTTTTTTTAATCAGGTTGTATACATGCTCAATCTTCAAGACCGTTTATTTGTGTTAGTGTCAGAATGGTTCATTTCTAAACATCCTTTATCATCCTGGCCTATTTCTTGAAATCTTTAGAAAGTACTATTCCTTGGGATGAATTTTATTAATAAATTTTAATTTTCTTTCTTTCAAGACACTCTTTTTAATGGTCTTGGACTTGGTGCTGTCATTGGCCTGGGAGTGGCAGCCCTTTTGTTAATCCTGGTTGTGACTGATGTTAGCTGCTTCTTTGTACGACAATGTGGGTTGTTAATGTGCATCACCAGGAGGATCTGTGGGAAAAAGAGTGGTTCAAGTGGAAAAAGTAAAGAACTGGAAGAAGGAAAGGCTGCATACTTGTGAGTATTGATCCCATATTTTGGAAATGTCACTAGAATAAAAAGTTGTCTGTCCAACTTATATTAACTTATATTAACTTATATTAACTTTTAACTTCTTGAGGTATGGCAAAGTAAATTAATACAGTGTTTTTATTACTTGGAAAAGTATCCACCTGAAATGTATAGAACTGCTTGTGTTCACTTTCCCTTAAATGAAAAATGGACACAAAAAAGACATTTGCCATACCTCACTGTAAGATGGCCTCGTTGTGCAACTTGACACAAAGGAAATCAACTGTAATTCAGTAATAGCACATCTGTGCTCCATGAGAAACAGGTACCAGGTCATTGTAACTCCATTTCTACTAATCCACCTTTGAGCTGCTAATACCCAAAACTTCAGCATATGGTTATAGCAGTGCCAGTAAATCTGAGAGTAAAGGACATAGTATTATGGAAAATCCATGAGAGAGTTTTTCTTTTCATATATAGCACTTGATGGAAAATCTTGTTTCTTGCCCATTAACTTTAGGAATAAAAAGTATTGTTGATTTTTAGAAGTAGGAGTGCTGAGTTGGATATGGGTGAGATACTGGTTAGCGTGATTGTTCTTCATAGTGAGTTAATGATTACTAAATATAATTGGGGAAAAACCAATTCTGATTTTCACAAATACTCTTGTATTTGGATAATTGGCTATACTGACAATGATAGTCACTATTTCATCAGACAAATGAACTCACAGACCCACAAAATCACAAAATATTAGGAGATGGAAGGGACCTCGAAAGATCATCTAGTCCAACCCCCCTGCCAGAGCAGGATCACCTAGACTAGGTCACAAGCAAACGTGTCCAGGAGGGTTTTGAATGTCTCCAGAGAAGGAGACTCCACAACCTTTCTGGGCAGCCTGCTCCAGTGCTCTGTCACCCTTACAGTAAAGGAGTTTTTCCTCATGTTCACGTGGAACTTCCTATGCTCCAGCTTGCTCCCAGTGCCCCCTGTCCTATCATTTGACATCAGAGA